TTTGTATACCAGCATCCAAGGAAAAGAATAAGACTATTGTGGGACAATAACCAGGATGACATCCCACAGAAGGGGTTTAAGAGATTCAACCCCAATGCAGCCTGGATTCCAGAATTGGGACTTAGCATGAAGGACAAGGCTGACATTGAAAAGAGAAAGCCTGTCTGTCTCTCCTCATGTTGGCCAGGCTGTAGTCACTAGACTGAGAAATCAGATTAAAGAAAACAAAGATCATCCATGTATAAGATTGGTTGGCACTCATGTCACACCAGTGGTAAAGCCCATTACACGATAGCTGTCATGAAGGACAACTTTTTGTAACTGCTTGCAATGGCAAAAAGTTGGTGCCCACATGACCTCAACATGTGGGGGGGTGTACTTTGCTGAGAAGGATCTCCCCTGGTAAAGCACTTTGTCCTCAGTGGGAGGGGCATAACATATAGGCGGATAGGATCACGTCCTCCTTCCACGTGCAATCCCCCCGGTGAGGTGTCGGAGTGCACGCCGGTTCTCTAGATCACTCTGCAAGGTTGTGCCGACAGGATTTCCAAATGGATACAGTTGCATTTTGAAGGACATTCGCACTTTCTGGCTTTTGAGAATACAAGCATGGAATCTTCTGATTCCACGTGGTGAGACCATCATATCTTCACTGTTGAGTGCAGGACTGTACATTACGGCATTCAGGCATACAGAGTCAATCAGCTACCTGCTTAGTAGGCTGGACCTGTATTATGCCCGCCAGATTATCGATAGACAGGCTGCAGTGATGGTCATGAAGTTATATAGCATAGTGGCATACCTACTACAGTTATGAACTGAGTTAAAACCCCTTGGTGGTATCTAGGTTGCCCCTCACTAGTTGCTCTCCTCTCTTGTGGTGGAACTATACCTGTGGATCTATATTCCATGTATATCTATACCTATTGGGACTGTTCTTATAAGCCGGATATTTAGTCCTTTCATTTTCACTTTTACCAGAACAACCACAGAGGGTCCTACCGGGAAGTGTCTCAATCTGCACGGGATAAGGGGAATGGCGCCGCTGTCCACATGCTCTAAACATCGGGGGGTACAGTATGTACCCCTTACATATTCAAATGAGAGGGGGCTTCCAGATTCCAAGGGGGCTCATCCCCACCTCTTTCCTGGCCTGCCAGGCTGCATGCATAACTTAGAGTCTGGTATGGATTTTGGGAGTCATTTCATGCCATTTTGTTAAGGGACTGACCAGAGAGGGATTACTTTGACGCAGTTGGCCAGCTTAAACATGTATTGCAATGCATGTGAACTAAAAATTCCTGTTTTTATGCAACATTTGCATTCATCATTTTTAAAGTTTCACTGGAAATGATATCCTACACATAGCTTCCAGGTTTTTTCTATTTAGGGGAGATCAGCAAATGCTTATTTACTAGTCTCCATGCCTTCCACCCAGCTTCACCCGCAGGTGGTACAGTGGAGCCTGGGAAGCATGGTGGAGGGGAAATGGGAGCGCACTTCCAGGGTCACAGAAAGCGATCAGGCGCCTGTACAGACATCGGATTGCTTACATTAGAAAGCCAACAGTTGGCATGTGGAGTGCATACACACCACAAGCAGCTGCTGGAATGTGTGCAAAACACCTTGCTGCCATCGATGTAAGGCATACAGCTGTGGACATGCTGTGGACATGCTGACTTATCAGCATAGTTAAACACAGACAATTCTACATAAAATGGAAGGCATATAAAGGACAACATGACTATAACATGGCTGAACTACTTTTCAAATCACATTAAATATACATGTATCCCTTACTAATATATTTATTAAAGCAATTGAAACCAGGGGTCGCGAGTATACACCAGACTGTGATTCCAAGAGGAAACCAAATTAAACACAGAGATACTTTCATGTAGTCAGTTCTGCAGTGTCTGGTGTGGATCCAGGTGACTTTTCCTTCACGTTTTGTAAACCGAACATGAAATAGATGCTTTATTGTGTCTTCAACCACTTCCTTTTTTTATATATATATATATATATAATATATATATATGTATACATATACACACACACTTTGTATTGGGACTTATAGATAAATAGATATAAATATATATTATATCAGAGTCACCTTATATCAGCACCCCCCTTACAGACCCCCATCAGATCAGAGTCCCTTCATATTAGCACCTCCCTTAGAGAGCCCCTCTCATTAGATCCGAGTCCCCTTATATCAGTACCCCCCTTACAGACCCCCATTAGATCAGAGTCCCTTCATATTAGCACCCCCCTTAGAGACCCCCCCATTAGATCAGAATCTCCTTATATCAGTGCTTCCCCCTTAAAGACCATTTATTATATCAGAATCACCTTATATCAGCACCCCCTTACAGACCCCCATCAGATCAGAGTCCCTTCATATTAGTACCCCCACTAGAGAGCCCCCCTCATTAGATAAGAGACCCTTATATCACCACCCCCCTTACAGACCCCCATTAGATCAGAATCTCTTCATGTTAGCACCCTTGTTAGAGACTCCCCATTAGATCAGAGTCTCCTTATATCAGTGCTTCCCCGTTAACCTCCCTAGCGGTCTGATTATGTCAGTATTTCTGTGCTCAAAGTGGTACATTTTTTTGCATGGAAATGTCTTTTTTTTATTGTAGGCCTGTAATTCTTAAGAATAACTCACTGAAATCTGTCCGAACAAGAGTCTAGTAAACATGTTAAAATTTGAAGCACGAAATCATAAATTATAATTTATTAAATAATCTTAAAAAAATAATAATATAATAATAATAAAAAATATATAATATATATATAATAATAATAATACATTTAATTCAATAATATAATCAAACCAAAATCAAAAGCACTGAAATTTAAAATAGAGCACCAAGTTCGCACATCACTGAGCAAAGTCGCAAAATTGTTTTCAGTGTCTGATGACAAATTTCCCCGCGTCATACGTCAGATACGTCACTTCCGGTCATGCGCATTGGCGTTATGCACGCCGACCTACAAGGAGGCGGCCATTTTCACATGCCATGAGTCATGCAAAGCTGTACAGGCGCCATGGACAGAAAGGAACCCGCGAGATGTCGGCTGATGTAAGCAGTTGTTCCCTGGATCAATACGGCAGTACATGTGAAGGACATTTTCATTATTTACTACCCATGGCACAGGTGGCGAGTGGACTGTTACAAGAATAACGAAGAAGGCTTCTTGTTATCTACTATATACATCAGAGTGAAAGTACCCAGATTGACTGTCCTTATATTATTTGTCTTATTTCAGGATGGGGACATTATGATGCATTACCTAGATGCAAGGCATACAGCGTATATTGCAACAAACGGAAGACCTATTGGGCCTCATTCCATCACGTATATCAAAGTGGTTTATAGTCCACACGTTGTGGTGAAGAAACCATATAAAGCAGGGCTCTGCTATCTTCATTTATTATTCCATCAAGACATCAACAGGGACTCCTTCATCTATAAGAATTTTTGCAACTATTTGCATCTACCAAGGGTAGATGGGCCCCAATCACATTTGCCTCAATAGGGTTCTACTGCATGAATCTATATTCATATTATTGGGGTATATCTCCCCTTCTTATGCAATTTTTTACCCATATTGCCTTGAATAGGCTAAAGGTTATGTTTCTCTCCACATGGTAACTGTTAGAGATGAGCGAATTATTCAAAAATTCGGTTCGGCTGATTCGCCAAATTCGCCGAATAAATTCGCTTCGAGCCGAATATATTCGCTGCGAATTTAACTTATAAAAAGGGTGTTTCTAGGCTTCAGAGAGCCTTTATATTAGTGCAGAACACTGTACCTTTAATTTAAATGCCCTTGGAGTCTGCTGGGGAAGAGAAATAATACTGTCAGTCAGTATGACATGCAGATGAGTGCCGTCGATCTTAGAATCACCACACACTTCACTCATTTGGGCAGTCACGGGGCCAAAACCAGAGTGTGGAGCCACAGTGTGGCGGTGGAGGCAGCAGCAATGGGAGGCCATACAGCACCCTATGACAAAATGGAACCCACGAGCAGTGTGAGGAGACCTGAAAGTGGCACATGGCAGAGTGTGGCGATGGAGACAGCAGCAATGGGAGGCCGTACAGGGACCCATGACACACTCTGGACCTGGCAGCAGCATGAGGAGGCGGTACAGGGGCCCATGACAGATTACGGGCCTGGCAGCAGCATGAGGAGTCGGTACGGGAGCCCATGGCAGATTACGGGCCTGGCAGCAGCATGAGGAGGCGGTACAGGGGCCCATGGCAGAGTGGCGGAGCGTAAGCAGCTAAAATTGAAGGCCATACAGAGGCCTATGTTAAAAAGTCCCCCCAGCAGCAGCGTGGGGGAGACGACTATCAAGAGTCCAATGGCAGAGTGGCGGAGCAGAAGCAGCTTCAATTGAAGGCCATACACAGGCCTAGGTTTAAAAGTCCCTCACAGTTAATTCCAATAACGAACTCTACTCCTCCGTGCAATCTACTTACGAGACCCTGGGCAGGTCTGGGTCCAATTTGTGGTAGAGACTGGTTTTGTTCAGCCATGCTTGAGCGAGTAATAACAGGTCTGTGCTGCCCTTTGGTGTCTGGCCTAATGCGCACAACACTGAACGTCCCAGCGTTTGTCAACGATTTGCCGTTAAGTGATGCAAACCCGCTGAACCACGTTCATGAGGAGCCGGTACAGGGGGCCATGAATCAGTATGGACCTGGCAGCAGCGTGAGCAGACGACAGAGGCACATGGCGCAGGGTGGCGGTGTAGGCAGCATTATTCTGAAGCCATACACAGGCCTAGGTTAAAAAGCAGAAGCCGTCAGCAGCGTGAGCAGACGACAGAGACACATGGCGCAGGGTGGCGGTGGATGCAGCAGTATTCGGAAGCCAAACACAGGCCTCGGTTAAAAAGCGGAAGCCGTCAGCAGCGTGAGCAGACGACAGAGGCACATGGCGCAGGGTGGCGGTGGAGGCAGCAGCAATGGAAGGCCATACAGCACCCTATCACAAAATGGAACCCACCAACAGTGTAAGGAGACCTGAAAGTGGCACATGGCAGAGTCTGGCGATGAAGTCAGCAGCAATGGGAGGCCGTACAGGGACCCATGACACACTCTGGACCTGGCAGCAGCAAGAGGAGGCGGTACAGGGGCCCATGGCAGAGTGGCTAAGCGTAAGCAGCTTAAATTGAAGGCCATACAGAGGCCTATGTTAAAAAGTCCCCCCAGCAGCAGTGTGGGGGAGACGACTATCAAGAGTCCAATGGCAGAGTGGCGGAGCAGAAGCAGCTTCAATTGAAGGCCATATGGCTGAGTGGCGATCCGGGAAGTCAGCGTTGTGATTGCAGATGCAAGCAGAAATTCTACGAAGTAATGCTGTGGGTGCGAAGAAGATCATATACCGTCGTACTTCCATCCATAAGACGGAACAACCTGCGAACCGGGAGCTTTATTGCCCTGACCCGCTGAGCAGCTTCTGGGATACCCAAGAGGCCCATGGCAGAGTGGCGGAGCGTAAGCAGCTTCAATTAAAGGCCATACAGAGGCCTATGTTAAAAAGTCCCCCCAGCAGCAGCGTGGGGAGACGACTATCAAGAGTCCAATGGCTGAGTGGCGATCCGGGAAGTCAGCGTTGTGATTGCAGATGCAATGCAGAGATTCTATGAGGTGATGCCGTGGGTGCGAAGAAGATCATATACCGTCGTACTTCCATCCATAAGACGGAACAACCTGCGAACCGGGAGCTTTATTGCCCTGACCCGCTGAGCAGCTTCTGGGATACCCAAGAGGCCCATGGCGCCTTGTCTGCGCGCCTTCCCAGAGATCCCCGCCCCATCTTCTCTGTCCATTTTCTCCGTCGCCACACATTTCGCCGCCATTTTTGGGAAAATTCGATTCGTGCATCCGAAGTTTGCTAATCTTCGGATTCGTCGCGAATAGAATTTTTCCAAATCTTCGGAACGAATTCCACTTCGTCATGTTCGATTCGCTCATCTCTAGTAACTGTATTAGCTATTATGCATAGCATGTGATAATTACATATTATATATACCTATGGTACAATTTTTTGAAAAACCTCCTACAGGGAGTGTAACCTATGTGTGGTGCTGCAAATGCTTTAGACAAACTTTGTCACTGTCTCTGCAGCACATACTGTATATATCCAGACCGGTCTTGGTGTGATTTTAAATGGTTTTAGGTCTGTGTGTATTGTCTCATACTAAGGTGATGGTAAACCAGGGTGATTGCCCTGTTGTCTATCATTAATGTTTAATAAAGCATAATTTTTTGGAAATTTTTCTAATATGGCTAAACCTTTTCTACCATGTCAAATTATCTGGATTAAATTCACATTTATTATAGAAAACAGTGTTTCATATCTAAAAGCAGTTATTTTTAGGTCTGGCTGGAGTTGTCCTTTAAATACTAAAGGTATAACCATTGACTGTGTATCTGCCATCTGTGCAGTTTTACTTTTAGCAGCTAGAAGTTAAATTGCCAAGAGCAAAAAGCAAAGTTAGGATGTTCTTTCTCTAATACCTCTGTTCCATATTGTGTGGTGTCCAGTTTATTTTGATTGAAAGTAGTTTCCTGTCCACTTTTGAACAAATAGAATTCAGATAATTTGTCTTCATAGATGTCCCTGAACACAATCTGGAATTTACAACAGCAAAAGTGCCTCTTGGAAGGCTCTATAGCTATATCCATAGAAACACATTTTTAGAATCTCACTAATGGGTGTTATAGACAGCAATAAAACCTGAGAGGTGTTATTTATTGTAGTTTTACTACTTTTAATTTTTTCAGATCAGTGTTTTCACTGGGCTAAACTAAATAAGGGAATCCTGCTATTTTGTAAGATCCGCTTTAAAAAGACTAAAGCTGGCCATACAGATGGATTGAAAATCAGCTGGTTTAGCAGGGACTCACCAAATTTTGATCCTTCTATGTTTCTGCTGGAGAACAATTAATATAACGAACAGCTTCTCTTCTATGGGAATGATGGAAAATTTCCACTCTATCAGCGCATGCAGCCACTTGGCTACAGCGCTGATCAATGTGCTCTGAGATCACAGTTGCACAGCAGGGAGTATTCCGTCATCCACCTCGATTGCATGCATGGTGATTGGGCACATGGGTGCGAGTTCACATGCTCCTGGTACCCATCAGAGTGGCTGGGAGCCCAGGAAAGTGAGTTTGTGGGTGAGGGGGAGGGCTAGTAAGAGACTCTATCCTCTTCCCCAAATGGGTCACAGAAGAAAATCTGCTATAAGAACACATGTTGGCTTACTATTTCTGAGCTCTCTGTCTGAAAATAATTTCTTGCCTGATTTGGATAATCTTTTAGTCTCAATACTTTTTAACTAACTGACCTCTGAACAAGCCCATAGAGATAAGCAATAATGTATTTTCTGCAACTCCTATTTGATGCATCCTTGTGGGACTATGATTTACTGGAGGCTGAAAGTTTTTTGTTCTGTTTTATGTACCACTTTGATGGAAGTCTCTGTGTTCTACTTTGCTGCCAAAGAATAAAACTGGTTATGAAAACCCAGGAGAAACCACTTAAAATAAATGTACGAGGGTATGGTCTTTGCAACACATCTTACACCTGTTAAAGCATAGTGAGAGATCACCGAAAGTGTTAAATAATAAAACACCCTACAAATCTAGGTGTGGCTATGTAGGTATAGCTAATTTTTATCTCGGATACATGCTAATAAGGTAAAAGTATATGAAAGGCATTGTCAGGCATGTTGCTCAGGGCAGAGAAATGAATTTACTCTGGCTACAAAATTGGATTATGTTCAAATTTATTGTCAAGATTTGTACAACCATTAGTACACAGAAGACTGATTTTTTTTTTAAGGCACATACTATTGGACATCTGAAATGTATCAAACAGAATGTGTACAGTAGTAATGCAAATAAAATAACAAGTAGGAAGAGTTAATTCCTACACTTTACATAAATTAATCATCAAGTTGGCAAAGAGCTGCCACACCGCGGTTTATCCAATGTTTCTGAGGTTTGTCTGTGGGAAGTTCTATAGAGAGGACATAGTTGGTGGAATGGCCAGTGGTTGAGAGCGTTCCCCGCCTAGCACTGGTTTTATATATAGGACAGAAGTATGAGTTTTTGTGCTCAAATTTTGCACTTTCTCCTGGTTTCAGCCATATGACAGGTAGAGGATCATACAGGATTTTGGGAAGAGATTCTTCAATTTGCATCTCTTGTCTGTCCCAGCGTGCGCCCTCTAAGAAGAGTCCTCTGATGTACGCACCATCTTCTGGAGATGTGTCTATGGTGTGCTCGTAACTGGTCACCTGAAATGATGACAGAGGGAAATTTATACAGATGTATACAGAACACCCTGAAAATTTAAAGGAAAAGCATTGTGGGTAGCCAAAGCAACCATAATACTACATCAACTTTTAAAATAGAACTTAATCTAGATAGCACAGGAACTGGTCAGATAAAGGATCATTCTAACACTACGGGCCAGCTAAATATGTATTTAATATGTAGGATTATGCTATGGCAGAAGTTGTATCAATGTTCTGTTTTTGAATAGTTTAATGTCTTCAGTAGTAAGACATTTTGTCCTCGAACATGGAGGCAGTGTGGTTAGTTGCCTAGCTTTTATTAGATGGGGTGTCTCCCTGGTAAAAAAGGAAGAGTTGTAGACAAGGGGGCACTCTTTATGTCTGGAGGAAAAGAGATTTAATCTCCAAATACGGAAAGATTTCTTCACGGTAAGAGCTGTGAAAATGTGGAATAGTCTCCCTCAAGAGTTGGTTCTGGCCAGCTCAGTGGATTGTTTTAAAAAAGGCCTGGATTCTTTCCGAGATGCACATAATATAACTGGATACTATCATTTATAGGTAAAGTTGATCCGATTGCCTCTCGGGGATCAGGAAGGATTTTTTTCCCCTGCAGGAGCAAATTGGATCGTGGTTTGCTATTTTTTTTTTGCTTTCCTCTGGATCAACTGTGGATATAGGATTATAACTTTTATTTTTAATGGTTGAACTGGATGGAATTTTGGCTTTTTTCAGACAGACTAACTATGTAAAAAAAAGTATTGCAAAAAGAAAGTAAATGGATATAGCTACTGTGACTGAATGACACAGTACCTTTAGGTTTAAATGGCAAATTGAGTCTTACTCCAAACCTATAAAGTGCAATCTAATTTTTTTTCTTATTGTTCTTAATGAGTGAGTATGTGCGTGTGTATAAGATGTTAACAATTTATAGTGGAATTAATTTGAAACATGCTGGATATAACATATTAGTTATTACTATATATATATTTGTTATTTTCACATAAAATTTACAACATACATTTCCTCTATGCATGTCTAGTCCCATCACAGTAGATAATAAATTTTATTTTCTCATGTATTAGGATGTGTAGAACTTCAATTGTGTTTGTGCGTACTATATTGGAAGGTGACTTTCAGCGGTTACCAATGTTTATTTAGGCAGTCCCAATCTTACTTTAACTGCTGTATCTACATATAATGATTACTTTCCTCCTAGATTGTAAGCTCGAAAGAGCAGGGCCCTCGATCCCCTCATGTTTTGCATTGTATTGTATTGTTATTGTTCTGTCCCCCATTGTAATGTACAGTGCTGAGCGAACTATTGGCGCTTTATAAATACTGTATAATAATAATAATAATAATTACTCAACTTTCTCAAATCTTATAACTATATTCTCATCTCAGTTTATTTCATGTCTACCTAATTCACAGCCTTCTTCCCTTACAGGATGAAAGCAATCAAATCATTATTCTACATAAATTAACTTTCCATAACTCTTAAAAATATCCTTCACTTGCCTTCTTCAGTGTAGATTAAGGCCCTATATTAATTCCTTAAAAGGTCACCTTCCAAACTGAAAAAGCAGCAAATCAAAATAATTTCCCCAACTGACACAAAAAAGCCATTGTGTTTCACTGCTAAATTCACAGCGTCATCAGGGGTTAAACCATTGTGAATGTGTGCCCACCGGTGCACAAATAATATATAATAAAAATTATAAGGTCACCTCCGGACTTGTATAGCCTACTACCGGCACATTTTGATTGCATATAGTTGGTCCAGAGTTCTCTTTCAAGGTGCACCATGAGAGGTCTGATATGCAGGATGGAGAATGTGGTGCAAACAGACACCAGCAGGCACCATTTAAGGGAAGGGCGCTGGGACACATGTATTCCCATTCTCCTGAGGCAACTGACATGGTTCCAGCAAAACCGGTGGGGTTACTGAGATAGTTCCTTTTACATAGAAGTTGTCCAAGTACTGTGGTTTATGCAATACTGCTACATATGAATATTGACTTGAGTTGTGAATAATAGGGCTGGAGAGACATTTAAATTGTTGTTTGATTAATGAACTCTACTATATTGGTAAGTAACAAGCTGCGAAGCCAACTGAAGCAAACATGGAATAACTGGGTTTATGTATGAGACATGCTTATGGTGGAACTCCCATGAAAAAGTCATGTATGCTATCAAAGACATTGCAATCTGATTTGGGATTACATACTTACAGCACACAACAAGCTGTGGAAACAGCAATAAAATACACCGCTCCAGTCACTCCTGCCTCCTCCTTCCTAAAGTTGCCATCAGGTACCTGCCTGAGAGTGCAGTAACAGGGCTGCACACTGATGACATCACTGGTGGTAAAGGGCTAAGTAATAAAGACTACACAACAAGCTGTCGCATTGAATGTTAAAAGTTTTTCTATCAGGATATTCATGTGTTTTTGATGCAACATCTATGATAGATTCAAATTCCCTTGTTACCAGGCAGACCCTTTTCCCCAGAGGAAGTGGCTGCCACACGGAAGCTGGATGTCAATTGTGTTCCATCTGCACTCAAATATCAGGTACATTACATGACTTTCCAAGTAAATACTTTGACTCATAAACTTTATACTACTGAAATTGCTAAACAGCTCTTTGAAGTGAACACTGATCAGCTGAGGACATTTGTGGGACCAGCTTACAAGAGAAGTCGCATGAATAAGTCATACTATATTGTATATTATAGAAAGCTGCATGTGATTCCTCACCTACAAACAAATCTAGACATAATCAGTACACTACAAATAGACAGAATCACAAGGGATTTAGCAGTTTACAGTTTTTATATATATTATTTGTAAACGGCTTGTCTCATAGCATGTTATGTTTTATTGAAGATATTCCTGTGATATGATATACTGGATTGATGCAAACCCACGATCTATTCGTATTCCTGTGTTACCGGGAAAACTTTCTTTCTCAGAGAGGAGTGGATGCTAATAACTGTGTTCCACCTGCACTTGGATGTATGGTTCGTTACATGGATAATCCCAGTGTCCTATGACAGCAAATGACCTTATTATCTTTGATATAAATGGAGAGTTATACATGAGATATAAACTTATATAGGCTATGCTTAGTGGATTGACACATTATATGGAGCCTTGTTGGGTTAGTTCACCTTTTCAAAAAAGAAAAGGTTAACTAACAGCCTACACCCTCCTGGTCTCCATTGCACTTATGTCCATGCGTGATAACCTTTTAAGTTCATGCTATATGTAATATCTCGACTTTAAATTGGGAACAGTGGTTTTTACAGCTCTTGCAATGAGTTGAATGCACATAATGATATTATACACTGTGCCAGTAAACGTAGATCATAATACGCAATACTTCTAAATCTTTTTACATAATTGCAGAGGGTTATATGGAAGGACTGTAAGCTCTAACGAGCAGGGCCCTCTGTTTCCTCTTGTACCAAACTGTATTGTGACTGTAATGTCTACCTTCATTTTGTAAAGCGCTGCGCAAACTGCACTATATAAATCCTGTATAATAATATTATAAGCATACAGTTGTAATTGAATCTTATTATCCGGTTCCGCGTTGCCCTATAACAGAAATACTGCTACAGGACAGCACAGGTGCGCAAAATTACGCCATTTTGCAGCCTCGGCTGTCAATCACCGGGTTCTGGATGGTGATTACTCGCCGGGACCCAGTGATCACTGAATATCTCCAACGGGGGAGAGACCTGTGTATAAACAACACAGAACTTTCCCCTATCAGCTCCTGCACACTGCTTTGTATGGCTCTGCATAGCAGAGCCACACAAAGCAGTGTGCTTACAGTGTAAAGCACTCACACGGCATACTGTGAAACAACATATAGTTAACCCTTTGATTGCCCCAGATGTTAACCCCTTCCTGCCCAGTGCAATTAGTACAATGTCAGTGCTTTTTATTAGTACTGTATTGGTATCACTGGGGATGTCAGTGACACCAAGTGAGTTCCCCCCAGTGTCAGAATGCCCGCTGCAGTCTTGCTATAAGTCACTGATCGCCGCCATTACTAGAAAAAAAAAATTCCAGGATATATATCGCTGTTTGGAAACGCTATAACTTTCACATAAACCACGTAGTTTAACGTATTTGGATTTTTTTTTGCAAAGACATGTAGCAGAGTACATTTTGGTGTAAATTTATACCAAAATTTGATTTTACATTTTTTTTACTGGATGTTTAATAGCAAAAAGTCAAAAATACTGTTTTTTTTTGTTTGTTTATAGCGCAAAAAATAAAAATGCAGAGGCAATCAAATACAATCGAAAGAAAGCTCTATTTGTGGGAGAAAAAAGGATGTAAATTTAATTTGGGTGCAGCGCTGCATGACTGCGCAATTGTCAATTAAAGCAGCGCCGTATCGCAAAAAATGTCCTGGCCAGGAAGGGGGGTAAATCCTCTGGAGGGCAAGGGGTTAAATGTTTTCATAGTGGAACAAAGTAAAATGTTTAAATTGAGGGCAGAATATTTGTTATTTTTTGTATTAGTACATAGGATCCCCCCCCCCTCACTTCCATTCACACTAAGCTGAGTGTTTTTTAAAGTGCCCTTTGAGTGTTTTTTTTTTAGCAGATGTGCAGATATTATAGGTGTTTTTTCATTTAGGTGTTTTTGCTGTGGCCAATAGAAATTCCCACTGTTCAGGCATTTTCCATTCAAGTCTATGTGGGAAAAAAATGCTCAGATCTGCCTGAAAAGTAGCACAAGGACTTTTCTAAGTGACAGCCATTTTGCCAAAGGCGACAAAACCCTCAAGTGTGAACAGGTGCCATTGGAAATAATGGGATTTTACTTGTTGAACATTTTTGAACTTTGAGCTGAAAAACACTCAAGTGTGAATGGGGTCTTCACATATATGCGGCCGTGCGAGCCACGTTTTGCGTGGGCAAGAGAGCCCATTCATTTCAATGGACTCCCGTGCCATGTGACACACAGGGAAGTCCCTGCA